CTGTGGCTGCGTTCTTTCTTGTTTTAGAAATAGCTCAAAAAATTAGCGACCTTTCACATTGCCTGATAAATGGTTTGGAAAAGTATGCCCAAATATTGAATTCTGCCTCCAAAACCAAAACAAGAACAGAGGCACAAAAACAGGGGAAAATAGAAATCAAATAGTAAATTACAGAACTTGATCTACCATATCAATAATTTATGTAATAATTAAATGTAAATGTACTAAAATGCCAAGTAAAAGGCAAAGATTCTCAAATGAATAAAAAAGCAAGATCTACCTATATGCTATCTATAATTATACTCACTTTAAATATAAAGACATAAGTAAAATGAAAATCAGTGGATGGATAAGGACATGCCAAGCTAACATAAGAAAGCTGCAGTGGTGGCTGGGCACGATGACTGACTGATGCCTGTAATCCTAGCACTTTGGGAGGCTGAGGCAGGAGGATCACTTGAAGCCAGGAGTTTGAGGCCAGCCTGAGCAATAGCAAGACCCCATCTCTACAGAAAATTTTAAAATTGGCTGGGCATGGTGGCATGCACCTGTAGTCCCAACTACTTGGGAGGTTGAGGTGGGAGGATTGCTTGAGCCCAGGAGTTTGAGGCTGCAGTGAGCTATGATGACGCCACTGAACTCTAGCCTGGGCAACAGAGCAGAGACTCTGTCTCAAAAAACCAACAAGCCGGGCTCAGTGGCTCATGCCTGTAATTCTAGCACTCTGGGAGACCAAGGCGGGAAGATCACTTGAGGTCAGGAGTTTGAGACCAGCCTGAGCAAAAGCAAGACCCTGTCTCTACTAAAAGTAGAAAAATTATCTGGGCATGGTGGCATGTGCCTGTACTCCCAGCTACTTGGAAGGCTGAGGCAGGAGGATTGCTGAAGCTCAGGAATTTGAGGTTGTAGTCAGGTATGATGCTGCTGCCACACTCTAGCCAGGATACTCCTGGCTACAGGAGAACTTTCCAGCAGGCCCTATGTCTCTTTAGACCTGCAACTTGTGAATGATCTGACAGCTCCTGGCCAAAGGACGAACCCCAAATCTTCCCACCCTAGAAACTTGTCTTCCCTCAGGAAGCCCCTGAAGAGTCCCTTCTTGTCCCATGAAAGGAGCCATGTCCACCCCTCCTGAATGTACTAACAGCTCTTCCCACACCCTCAGGGAGAGGGACTTTGTCTCTGTACTCTCCCCACATTTGGACATTGCATTTGAACTCCTGACCGTATTTACTTCCATTTCCAGTAGGCAAAGAGGTTGGTCACAGGGGGGTGTCAGGTTAATGTCTGCCACCATTTCCACCCACAAGGATTCGAGGCTGCCACTGGCAGATGGAGGCTGGGTAGACAGATGGATGCCAAAGTGAAGTATCTCAAGAATGGAAAAACAAACACCACATGTACTCACTATTAAATTAGAACTAACTGATGAGCACACATGTGCACAGAGTAAAGTAAAACTCATGGGAAAGCAACCAAGGGGAGGGGAGGAGAGGAGGGGAATAAACCAACCTAATGGGTACTATGAATACTATTTGGGTGATGGGCACACCTATAGCCCAGACTCAAGCATTACAAAAATGATCCATGTAACCTATAACATTTGTACCCCCTTAATATTTTGAAAAAAAAAATAAATAAAGAGCCTCCTTGGCCCTGTGACCCAGTATAGCCCCAACAATGCCCTGCTGACAGGTGCCAACACTGCCCTACTGCTAAAGCTGACACAGCAGTCGCTGGCACCGCCCCAGCCTCCAAACCTGGTGTCTGTTGCAGGCTGGAACCTTGATGGGCACCAAGCACAGACAAAAGGCTGCCAGGGTGCAATTGAGCTGGGGTGAAGGTTTGTGTGGCCCAGGGTCACTCTTGCCTCCTCTCCTCCAAGAGCTCTGGGACCTGGCAGAAAAGGAATCAAACCTGCAGATCCTTCAACTTGGTCAGGGCACAGCCAACTCTGAGCCACTCTTTTCCCTGTTGTTGGATTCTCTGCCATAGTCACTCTCATACCCCTACTACCTGGTCCTATGCCTGATTCATACTCAAGCTAATTTAAACAAAAATTATTTGTAGAGGCAAGGTCTCTCTGTGTTGCCCAGGCTGGTCTTGAACTACTGGCCTCAAGTGATCCTCTCACCCATAGTACTAGGATTACAAGCATGATCTGTGCTTGGCCAATCCTGATCATTTCTGAATCTCAACCAAGTGAGCATCCCCTGGAGAGATTTGACCTGTTCACTCTCCATAGGTCAGGATGTAAAGGCTCTGATATCTGTTCAGCTGATTGCAACAAAGACATGGGGAAGGGGACACCTTTCAGAAGGCAGATCCCATGCATGAAGCCCCCATGGTTAGCCCAGGGTCAATATGAGGCATAGGAGTTCCCAGGAGGAGGCATGGGCTGTCAAACAAGAAGCGAAAGCCAAGGGAAGGAGGGGAAGAAAGATTGGGCAAGAGCCTGCAGCCAGCTCCACCTTGTTTCCAAAGATGTCACAGGCCCCATGTCCATTCAGCTGGCTGAGAAACAGGTACAGGAGCATCTGAGAGGCAAAAGCCTGACCCTCGGTGGCTCACACCTGTAATCCTAGCACTCTGGGAGGCCGAGGCGGGCAGATCGCTCGAGGTCAGGAGTTCGAAACCAGCCTGAGCAAGATCCCGTCTCTATTATAAAAGGAAAGAAATTAATTGACCAACTAAAAATATATAGAAAAAAATTAGCTGGGCATGGTGGTGCATGCCTGTAGTCCCAGCTACTTGGGAGGCTGAGGCAGAAGGATTGCTTTACCCCAGGAGATTGAGGTTGCTGTGAGCTAGGCTGATGCCTCCGCACTCACTCTAGCCTGGGCAACAAAGTGAGACATTGTCTCAAAAAAAAAAAAAAAAAAAAAAAAGCCTGACCCTCCTGATCAACAACATGGGGCTGTTGATGGTATCATCACTGGACACAAAGGAAGCAACCAACATGTGGCCGTCATGCCTGACCAGCGTTGTGAGGCCTCTGCTCCCTGGCCAGGCAAGCTACCTCCCCTCCACCTGCTGGCCCAGACTAGACCTTGCCCCTGGGCTGACACTATTTTTCTGTTCCCAGGGTCCTCAGGCAGGGGAAGGAACATGAGCAGGCCCAAGTTGGAGAAGGATTTTGGCTTTAATATCCCTGACACCTGCTGTCCAGTTGAGTCATGTAGACTTTTCTGCAGAATGAGAACATTATCAGCTTTCTTGCCAGGTTTAGATTTGTCAAGAATGGAAGATGGAGGCCTTATTCCTTATTGTCGGCATCCTCCTCCCTGTCCTAGGCCTTTGGGTCACTTCCGTGGAAGGATTCCTTGATTCACCCCCAGAAAGAACTGTGCTAAGTGTAAGCTGCCATCTTCAACCTTTGCAGCAGTGTGAGCTTCATGACAGAAATTCCAGAAATTCTGAGCTGGGACTGCAGACACAATGTGTTTTATCGCTATAGTAAGGTGACAAGAGTGGGAGGACCTGGGGCTTTGGGCACCTCTAGGGCCTGTCTGGGTTGGCCACAGCTCTTCCTAGCTCATTCCTCTTCAGGCTGCCTGAACATGCTGAGCCAGTGCTGGGCTCTGGCCTGCAGTGAGGAAGGCATCCTCTGTGCCGGCATCCACCCTGGATGGGTGAATACTAGGATGGGCTGTTCCAATTTGTACACTGTGAGTGTCAGTTTTCTGACCCCCAACATTATATCCCAGCTGGAATCTGAGCACACAGTTGTTCAGTCAGGTTCTCAGGGGAGCCTGGTGAAGATGTCAGGTCAAACGAGGCCTATGCCCTTGAATTCCATTTTTCTAGGGCTATCAGTGGTAGGAGGGACACATTATGTCATTGCTTGAAGTTGTCCAAGACAGTTGCCTACAGGAAATTTAGAGGGTTGAGTCCTGGGGTCTAGGCTACTGATGAAGGGTGCACATAGTGGAACTAGGAAAGCCAGTGCTGGAGGTTGTAGAAGGAGGAAAGATGCTTGGAGAAGTCCACAGGAATCCCTGCGGTGTCCACATAGTGTCATCTCCTGAGCATGGGCAAGTGGTGGGTGCCATTCGGCCCCTGAAGGTATGGGGTCCAGCCTCTCTGGGCCCCTCCCTGACTTTGGTTCACTCTGCAAGTCCGGCTGTGGGCTGGCCTGTGGTCTCAGCTGAACCACAAGGGCTGTGTGCTGTGCAGGCCCCAGGGACAGTGACAAAATCCATTCTGGGAATGCTAACGGCAATGGCTTGGCTCAGAAAGAGAGCCAGGAAGCTTTCTGGACTAGGAAGGCCAAATTACCTCCTGGTGAGTATCTCCAAGGAGTGGACCAGACCATGGTCCTCTTGGGTCTCTCAAGAGACCCAAGTTCTCTGTGTTCAACCCCCAACCCTCACATGAGCCCCACTCCCTCTATCCCCAGGCCCCCGGTAAGCGCTAAGTATCTGCCCCAGGCTCTGGCACACAGTAGGCACTCAGTAAATACTTCAAGGATAAAGGAATGAGCTCTGCCTCCTCACTGGGTTCCAAGGGCCAGCACCGGTTTGGTATTCCAGAGCTGAGTGTCAGCCTCTTGTTCCTCCACCTCTGACACCCTCAGCAGCACCCCCCCACCCACTCACCGACCCCAGGCCTCAGCCATAATCTTGTACCAGAAAGGCCTGGGGCTTTGGAGTTAGGAACGCTGGGTGAGAGCTCTGTTCTCATCAGAGTAACCTGAAAGGTCTGTTAACACTCTGGCAGCTGAGCCCTACCCCGGGAGTTTATGATTCATTATGTCTGGCCAGGGCCAAATTTACATTCCCACAAGTTCCTAAATTAGGCTGATGCTGCTGGTTTGGAGGATGAACATGTTTAGACAGCTCATTTTGGGGGATGAACATGTTTAGACGTCCTTGGAACAGAGGCTCTTGGGCCTGCGCCCCTGGTCTGTGCCTTACCTCCTGGGTGCTCTCTGATGGCGTGTCCACTGCTAGTATCAGCCTCTGATGTGCCTGGGGCCTTTCAAGCTCATTCTAGAAGTTGGTCAGAAGTGTCAGGAATTAACACCCTCAACAGCCCTCCAGGAAGGACTGAGGGAAGTGGTTGTATATCTACTCTGACTTCATCCTGCCTCAGGTGGAACCCCTTTAAGACATGTATTCTGTACTGTATCCTAGAGTTCCCCATCTGCACCCCAGGAAGGAATAGGCACACAGTGAAACCCTGCTTGATAACCCACTTTACGCTGGCTGTCTTCCCTCCCTGTGTCACCTCTATATCCTTCTACCATGGCTCTGTGTATCTTCTAAGAAATTTCCTGTGCTGCAATGTTTATCACAAGATCTTCTGCAGCAGGAACCCAAACCTAAAACAATATCTCTGTCTCTTATTCTTCTGTGACTATGGTCATCTTCATGCCATTGTTCCAGGCCTCAGTTTGTTCTTCTGTAAAGTGAGGAGAAGTCTGCCAACATTCTCACTGACCCATGAGATAACAATGGTAACAAAGCAATGAGTGTGGGCATTGCAGGGCAGGGGACTCACTGGGCTCGGAGGAGGGAACTCATTTCAGAGATGAGCATTTAGAGCTGGCCTCTTGGAGGCAGAAATTGCTCAGCAGAGAGAGTTCCTTCCTAGAATATCTTTTGTTTGTTTGTTTTAAACAACATTTATTATCTCGGCACAGTTTCTCAGGGTCAGGAATCTGGGGATGGCTTAGCTGCGTTCTGGCTCAGGTCTCTAAGGAAACTGCAGTCAGGATGTCAGCTGAGGCTGCAGTCATCTGAAGGCTTGGCTGGGGCTGGAGGGTCTGATTCCAAGTGTACTCACATGGTTGTTGGCAGAAGGCCTCAGGTCCTTACCCTGTGGGCCTCTCCATAGGGTTGAGCATCCTACAAAATAGCAGTTGGCTTTCCCCAGAACAAGCAATCCAAGACAAAAAACAAGGAAGAAGCCGTATGCTTTTTAGTCTCAGAAGTCACACACCTCAGAGACCTGTGTCTAGGCTACAAAGAAAAAGAAAAAAGAAGTCACACACCATCACTTTAGCCATATTCTATCCATTAGAAGAGAGTCACTAAATCCAACCCACACTCAAGCAGAGAATTAAATTCCACCTCCTCAAGAGAGGAGGAGTACCAAAAAATGTGTGGGCATACTTTAAAACCATCACAGTCCCTATGCCCCTTTCAAGCCTGGGATCGTAATGACTTCTCACTGTTGCTAGTCTCGAATAATGCAATATATATGAATTCAGGAATATCTTCCTAAATCACAAATCTGATTGTGCCATTCTCCTGCTCTAAATCCTTCCATAGCTCCCCAGTGCTTCAGGGTGAAAATCCAAAGTGAACTTTGGTAAGCTGGCCTTTGTGACCTTGCTCCTGCTTCCTTTACCTTTCATGCCCTGTCTATTTGCCTCTGTGCTACATCCAGCTTCCTGAACTGTCCCTTGAAATCATGAGGTGTTTTTTTTTTTTTCTTTTTTGCCCTACAACTAGTGTTGCCAGATAAAATACAGGACTCTCATTTAAACTTGAATTTCAGATAAATAACAGATAAATAATTTTTTAGAATAATATGTCCCCAATGTTCCATGGGACAAATATACATACTTTAAAAAGTATTCGCTGTGTATCTGAAATTCAAATTTAACTGGCTGTCCTAATTTTTATTTGCTAGACCTGGCAGCCTTATCCAGCATGAGCACATGATGTTCCACCTGACCTTCCCGTGACTTTTTGCATGATTGACTCCTTTTCTGGAATTAGCTCTCAGCTTAGAAATGACCTCCCCAGGAAGACAGTTTTCCTTCCCCCTTTCTCAGCCCGAGGCTACAGTCCTGTCATTGCTGTGACTCAGTTGTTCCCGATAAGCAGAGTAGGTCTACCTTGTTCACTAACTCCCCAGCCCTTAGCAAAGTATCCCACCCTTGGTAGCCACTTTTACATGTTGAAGGAATAAGTGCTGACCTAGGACCTAGCTTCAGGGCCTAAACAGCTGGCCCACTCCTTGCCTTCCACGTTTGGGACCCCCAGTGAGGGGGCAGAAGCATCAGTTATCTATCACTGCAAATAAGCCACTCTAAAAGTTAGTGGCTTAAAACCACAGCAATCAATTACTTTGCTCACAAACCTGCAAAATAAGCAGAGCTCGGTGGAGACAACTTGTCTCTGCTCCATGCAGTATCAGCTGCGGCTGGAGGAGCCACTTCCAAGATGATTCACTTAAGTGGCTTTTGAGTTGGTGCTGCATGTTGCTTCCTCTCCAAACATGCCTCTCTGTTGGGCAGCTTGGGCTTCCTCACAGTGCAGTGGCTAGGTTCCAAGAACAAGCATCCCATGAGAGTCAGGAAGTAGCAGATGCTAGTTTTTTAAGGCCTGAATCTAGAAACTGGTACAGTGTTACTTCCACCACATTCTATTGGTTAGGCAGTTGCAGAGTCCATATGCAAGGAGAGCAGACATAGACCCCATCTCTTGATGAGATGAGACAAGTGTGAAAGAATTTTGTGTCATGTTTTAAAGCCACAAGAGGGGAGAATACTCACCACAAAGGAGCTGACATGGCCCATCACCTGCATCCAGTCAGAGCAGATGACTGTCTATAGGATGTCCTTCTCTCCACAAGCCACCGGGTAAAGCATGGGACCAACATGCTCAGGGCAGCCTTGGGGTGGGACGGGGGAGGGAGAGAAAGAGAGAGACAGACAGAGAAACAGAGAGAAAGAGTTCTACCTTGAAGGATGAAGGGTTCGTACACTCAACAATGTAGGCACTAGGGTAATCAAATCTGAAAGGAGGCTGCCATTTGGCAGTTGTCATGGATCCCTTGGATGTCATAAACACAGATATTTTGAAGTTAAAATATTTTCCTTGGGTTTTGAAAATTTTTACATCTATGGAAAGTTGACAGAACAGTAAATGAACAACACATATACCTGGTTTCATCAATGGTTAACATTTTACCACATTTGCTGCTTGAAAGTAAGTTGCAAACAAGACATTCCATTCCCAAATCTTGCAGCCTGCATCCCTTCAGAATTAGTGTACCCTTCTGCAGTGGTTCTCCACCAAGGGTGAGTTTGCCCTCCAGGGGGACATTTGACACTAACTGAAAACATTTTTTTAATTACTTTATTGAGAAAAATTTATATAACATAAAAATTCATCATTTTAACCATTTTAAAGTATACAGTCCATTGATTTTGTACAATCACAATGTTATGCAATCATCACCACTACCTCATTCAAAAACACTTTCTGAAATTTTTGGTGGTTGCAACAGAAGTGGTGTGGCGCTACTGACACCTCGTGGGCAGAGGCTAGAAATGCTGCTAAACATCCAACAAGAAAGAATTATCTGATCTAAAATGTCAACAGCAGAGGTTGAGAAAGCTCGCTTTATATAATTATAACACCATTATACATCTAAGCAAGCCAACAGTAATTCAGTAGTATCATCCCCGCTTGTCCCCAGAATGACATTTTAGCATTTTATTTTAGTTCAGGGGCAGGCAATTTTCATGTATTGCATTTGGTCATGTATCTCTAGTCTCTCTCTTTCTTTTAAATTATTTCACATTTTTTATTTTTTTCATTTTTAAACTATTATTTCTTCTTTTCCTGATGTTATAGTCGATCTAGTCTCTTTTAACATAGAAGAGTAACCTCTGTCCCACACTCAGCCTGTTTGTTTTTCATGTCATTGATTTTTTGGGGGGTGGGGGCCAGAGTCTCACTCTCTTGCCTGGGCTAGAGTGCTATGGTGTCAGCCTAGCTCACAGAAACCTCAACTCTTGGGCTCAAGCGATCCTTCTGCCTTAGCCTTCTGGGTAGCTGGGACTACAGGAATGTGCCACCATGCCCGGCTATTTTTTTCTATTTTTAGTTGTCCATATAATTTCTATTTTTAGTAGAGACGGGGTCTCACTCTTGCTCAGGCTGGTCTTGAACTCCTGAGCTCAAGCAATCCTCCTGCCTTGGCCTCCCAGAGTGCTAGGATTACAGGTGTGAGCCACTGCACCTGGCCCATCATTGATATTTTTAAGAGTTCAGGCCAGTTTTCTAGCACTATACTCTGGATTTATATGATTGCTTACTCAAGATTAGACTCATGGTAAATAGTTTTTGCAAGAATACTATTATACATTGGTGCTTTTTGCATCACATCAAGAGGTCTGTGACATTGCTATGCTATTTATCTCGTTGGAATTGGATGATAACGTATTTCAGAAGACAGAAAGAAGCAGGGTACAACCTTCTCCCTACCCCCATCTCTGCTCAAATACAGCCTGACTGCTATCCTAGCAACGAAACACCCTGCACATATGACTTTCAAGGCTGTGTTGAAGAAGGATGAAATTCCATACCCAAAATCATTCTTTCTGGGCTGAGAATTTGCCCAAAGTCAGTATTTGCCCAAGTCAAAAGCCAAACCTGGCTCGCAAGGGCAAGGTTTTGGCCCTGACTTTAGCAGAAGGTGCTGGCCCATGTGAACTATCCTACCCTCAAGGCCACAGCAGGGGTAAGGCTTCTGGAGGCCAGGACTTTCATGAGAATCACAGGTAGATCTCGAGGATGCTCAGAGCCTGGGAGAGCTCAGCTGAGGTCAAGGGAGGACCATCAGGCCCTGCACAGATTGGTGGAATTCACTGTGAGGTCTCCAACCACAGCCTTCCACGGTAGACACCAGAAAGATTTTCAGAAGCAGGACCAGAGAATTCTGGGACAAAGGTGACTCTCCACCATAGGATGTGAATGAGAAAGGAGAAAGCCCCAGAGACTACTAGAAGTTAGTTTGGATCCATGAAGGAAAAAAAAACAAAACAAAACAAAAAACCTTAGAATAAAGCATTCGCTACAAAAAAATATATAGATTAAGAAATGTAAAGAAACTGAGGCTATCATTTGGGAATATTTGGCTGCGAGCAGCAGAAAACCCAACAGTGACTTAAACAAACATTTGTCTCATGCAACAAGATGTCAGGAAGTTGGTAGGCCAAAGCTGGTGCAACTGCTTTATAACGCCATCAAGGCACAGTCTACTTTTGTTGTTCACCCTCCTTATCAAGTTAGTTCATTCTTATGCTTGTAGCCTCATGGCCACAAGTTGGCAACTACAGCTCCAAGCATTATATTCACACCCAGGCAGGAAGTAGAAGGGAAAAGAAGCATAAAGGGTAAACAAAGTTTTCCAAGAAGGGCTCAGCATAAGTCTCACGGGTCACAATTGTATACCAGGGACACCACAAATTTTAGAGAATCTGAGGTAGTAGGTTTAGGCACTGCCCTAAACAAAAGTAGGCTTCTCTTCGGAGGAAGGGGGAATGGGTACTGGGAAGGCAACCAACTGAGTCTGCCACACTAACTGCTTATAAAATCAAGAGGTATTAGAGCAAACCTCATCTGAAACCAGCGCTACTTCTGTATGTCTCAGTTACATGAGCCAGTAAATTAGTTTTATAGTTTAAGACAGTCTGAATCAAGCTTTTGGTTCATTGCTACTGATGTCATCTCACTGATACCTTATATAATACAATTTAAGAGGCCATTTATTGTTAGACATTCAAATTATTTTATTTTTTTTCAATTAAAAAGAAAAAAAATTTTTTTTGAGACAGGGTCTTGCTCCATTGCCTAGGCTAGAGAACAGTGGTGTCATGATAGCTCGCTGAAACCTCAAACTCCTGGGCTCAAGCAGTCTTCCAGCCTCAGCCTCCTGAGTAGCTGGGACTACTGGTGTGTGGCACCACGCCCAGCTAGTTTTTCTATTTTTAGTAGAGATGGGGTCTCACTGTTGCTCAGGCTGGTCTCAAACTCCTGACCTTAAGTGATCCTCCTGCCTCAGCCTCTCAGAGTGCTAGGCTGACATGCGTGAGCCACCTCGCCTGGCCAGACACTAAATTATTTTATAAACCACTAATAAAGGAAAAGAAAAATGCTCTGTATTGATGTATAACATATAGTAAAATGTGTAAGTCTTAAATGTAAGTCTTAAATGTGCAGTTTAATCAAATTTCACTTATGTATATACCTGTGTAACCACCACCCAGATCAAGAGATAAAACATTTTCAGAACCCCACAAGTTTTCCTCATTTCCTCTGTTCTCAGTCAATAGTGCCACCCCAGAGTTAACCACTATTCTCAGTTCTATCACCATTTATTATAGTTTGGTTTGGTTTTGAATGTCTTATAACTGGAATCACATAATATATACTCTCTTCTGCAGTGGGCTTCTTTCTTTCAACCTTAGGTCTATGAGATTCATGTTGCTGTGTGTAGCAGTGATTCATTCTTTTGTCATTTGCTGTGTAGTGTCCAATTGTATGAATACACCATATCCATTTTCCTGTAGATGGATATTTGGATTGTTTCCAGTTTTTAGCTATTATGAATAAAGTTGCTTCCCCACTAGGATTTGATACCCTCACAACTTCCATACCTCCACCTCCCAGACCCTTTCTTTGCAGCTGGAGGCACAGAAGATAGAAAGGGCTAAAAGCAGAAAAGGAGGGGATCCAAGCATCACCTCCCCATAGGAGCTACCGCAGCTCTCTCTGCTTTCTCAAGCTGATCCTGTCAAGGCAGGCAGGCACTCACTGTCTTGCTCACTCACACTTCTCCTAGCTCCATCTCTTCTTTATTTACTTGATCAGCCACTCATCCACCTACTCTTCATCCATTCATACACTCTCTCTGCATCCTCCTCTGAGTAATGCTCTGGCTAGTCCCTGGAGCCCCACCCATAACAGGCCAGTTGGGAGGCAGGCTAGGAATCAGTCTCTGTGCCCACTGCCTTAAATGAGGTGCATGTAGGTGCTTACCCATGAAAAGTCACCTGCAGGGAAGCTGGATTCCAGAGTCTTCTGTGGGCCCAGCTCCTCCATGCAGGCCTAGCACCCTGCCTAGGCTCATCCCTACCACCACCATCCTTGCCATGTAGGGTGTCAAACATTTCTCAGGCTCTGAGCCTTGCTGCCCCAAGACCCCCAATCACAACTACTTGCTTTTCTCTGTACTAGCACACTGATGGGCAGGGGCATTCTTGGATGGCCCTCAATTGTTTTATAACAATTCCATTTATAACATGGACCAAATCAATGGCGGCAAAACCATTCCCCTCTTGTTGAACCCCGTTATCACAACACTGCCACAAACATCCTAACTTGCTTTTTTTTTTTGCATTTGAATTTTTTTAATTTTAAATGAAAAAAAAAATAAATTTCTTTACTTCTTTTTTTTTTTTTTTTCTTCTATCATCAGTCTTGGCCTATGCATTCATTTTAAGTTTTGCCTTAAAAAAAATTCTTAGGAGAAAGGATCATGGATCAAAGCATATAAACATTATCAAAAGTAACAGCCAGGCTGAGCACAGCGGCTCACATCTACAATCTTAGCACTCTGGGAGGTTGAGGCACGTGGATCATTTGAGCTCAGGAGTTGGAGACCAGGCTGGGCACGGTCAGTGATCCAGGCTGGATCACACCTGTAATCCTAGCACTCTGGGAGGCCAAGGTGGGAGGATCGCTTGAGGTCAGGAGTTTGAAACCAGCCTGAGCAAGAGCAAGACCCCGTCTCTACTAAAAATAGAAAGAAATTAATTGACCAACTAAAATATATATATACAAAAATTATCCAGGCATGGTGGCACATGCCTGTAGTCCCAGCTACTTGGGAGGCTGAGGCAGAAGGATTACTTGAGCCCAGGAGATTGAGGTTGCTATGAGCTAGGCTGATTCCACAGCACTCACTCTAGCCTGGGCAACAAAGTGAGACTGTCTCAAAAAAAAAACACACAAAAAAACGGAGTTTGAGACCAGTCTGAGCAAGAGCGAGACCCTGTCTCTACTAAAAATAGAAAGAAATTAGCTGGACAACTAAAAATATATGGAAAAAATTAGCCAGGCGTGGTGGTGCATGCCTGTAGTTCCAGCTACTTGAGAGGCTGAGGCAGGAGGATTGCTTGAGCCCAGTAGTTTGAGGTTGCTGTGAGCTAATCTGATACCATGGCACTCTAGCCTGGGCAACAGAGTGAGACGCTGTCTCAAAAAAAAAAAAAGTAACAGCTGTTATATATTCAACACCTAATATGTGCCAGGCTAGGATCAATTTCCTGACAGTAGGGGTGGACAGTAGTATGGGTGGGTTTTGGCTACAGGTATGCCAGGATCCACGGAAGCAGATGCTTCTGGCTGCTGGGTGGGGGAGAGGTGAGAAGGGGGCAGAATGGAGGGACAGGGTGTGACTCACTTCCATTCCCTAGAACTAAGTGGGCGGAGTGGGTATGTGGTAAACATGTGCTGACTGCGGAAATTAGCAAGATGAGCAAATGACGTGTGTGTCCAAGAACAAACACATGCATAATGAGTGGACAAGGAGGTAACCAAGCTGACATGGCGGGGAACTGGAAGAATGCGGTGAGTGAGGCTGGAGCATGAATTTGTGTCCTGGGGCCTGCTTGGCCAGACCATGGGAAGAGCAAGTTGGAAGCTCCTGAGGGAGTTCCAAGGCCCGAGTTTTCTACACTTCCCCAATGTTATGGGCTGAACTATGTCCCCCTGAAATTCGTTTGTTAAAGCCCTAACCACCAGTGCCTCAGCACACAACCATATTTGGAGATAGGGCCTTTAAAGAGGGGATTGAGTTAAAATGAGGCTGTTAGGGTGGGCCCTAATCCAATCTGACTGGTGTCCTTATAAAAAGAAGAAATTTTAACACACAGAGATACCAGGGATTCATGCACACAGAGGACTAGCCATGTGAGGACACAATGAAAAAGCCACCATCTGCAAGCCAAGGAGAGGCTTTGGAAGAAACCAACCTGCTGACACCTTGACCTTGAACTTCTAGCCTCCAGAACTGTCAGAGAATAAATTTCTGTTGGTATTTTGTGATGGACACCCTAGTAAACTAATACATATAACAATACATCCAACCACTTTATTTCTTGGTGAGGATTGGTCATTTTATTTTTTTATGTATTTTTTTTAGACTAGTCAAGTGCAGAAGTGAGGAGGGGGGAAAGTAGTAGAACAAGGAGCTCAATCTATAACTGACTGTGAACAATCACGTGAGATAACTCACTACCTCTGGACTAGCCAGGATTGGTCATTTTAAATCAGGTGAACATTCACAAGAAGACCACTTGGAGCATGAGAATGCATGTTCAACAGGGTTGTGGGTCAGGAGAAAGTGTCCTCTGGTTTCACACACAAAGGGCTCTATGAAGGTTTGGAGAAATGTCCTTGTGAAAACTAAAGGACTTTTACCATGGCCAGCACTGCCATTAGAGTGGGGTAGTGCCTCCCTTCTTGGAGTCTGGCCAGAGGAAAGCCCTGTCCCAGCATGCTCTGGAGCCCCCTCATCTTATGACTGTGAACTGGCCTCCACAGGGTCCCACACTGGTCCAGAGCAGGACAGCCATCTGAGTTTCAGATTTCATGCCAGCAACCCCTGAGGCTGCTGCACCTGTGCCCAGCACCCCAGGCAGCATCTCCCTGCTTGTCCAGAGTTCCCATGGCCCTTGTTCTTACCTGCACCAAACCTGAGGGACAGGGGTGAGCAGGTTGGAGAGCTCCTGGGTCTTTAGCAGAAAGAGCAATTTCTAGGTTGAGAATCATTTCTGGGTCATTCACACAGTCCCTGCTGTCAAAACACTTTTTTCCTAGCGCTTTAACTGAGCCATTAAACTCCTTAGCAGGTTGTTCCCTCCTATGGAGACAGATCAGGAACAACATGGGGACATCCTGGGGACCACCCGCCCAACAGTGCCATACCTCCTCTCTGGAGGGTTTCTGGGGGCTCAAACTGCACTTCCTCAGAAATTCTCTTATGCTCAGGGGTCCTCTCACTGCCTGGAATGGAACAGGCTCCTCACTACTTTGTGTGGGTCTCCTATAAGTGTGTGGGCTGATGTCCTTTTATAGAATGTTGAGGGTGAGGCCTCACCTTGGGGCAGAAAGTAGGGTGCTGTGATACCTCTAGAAAAAAAATATTTCACTCAGAAAAGTGGGATCTGACAGGCAGGGGAAGGGGTAGAGGAGTCAGAGTGAGTCCAGAGGGGAAAGACTGTCTCTGGGCCTGCATCCCTTATAGTCAGAGGAAAGGGTATTCCATCTACCAGCTGGCCCTGTACCTTGCTCCACTCTCCCCTGCTTGACTTCAGCCTACATTTTCTTTGGCAACTGGCAAGCCCATGAAGTCTGGCTGACCCCAGAATCAGGTGCTTCAGGTCACCATGGCCTGTGACCCAGTCTCAAATTCTAGTCGCCTTGGCATGATGCTGGTCACATAGCATGCACTCAGTAAACGGCTCTTGAATGAATTGAAGAATGGCAAGTGTTGGCATTCATGCAACAAACATGACTCTACCCACCTCAGAGCTCACAATCACTGTGGGACAGTTAGTCCAGGTTTTCCTGAGAAACAGAACCAAGAGGAAGAACACAGGAACACCCACCCACACACGTGCACACACACACACACACACACACACACACACACACATACACAATCTCTCCTATTGAGAGAGAGAGGGATATATTATAAAGTATTGGCATATGCAATTATGGAGGCTAAGAAGGCCCACAATCTGCTGTTTGCAAGCTGGAGAGCCAGGAAGGCTGGTGGCGTAGTTTGAAGGCCTTAGAGCCAGAGAGCTGACGGGTTAGATTCCAGTCAGTCTGAAGGCGTGAGAATCAAGAGTGCTCAGGGCAGGAGAAGGCCAATGTCCCAGCTCAAGTAGTCAAGCAGAGAGCCCACTTACCCTGTCTCTGCCTTTTGTTTCATTCAGGCCCTCAGTGGACTAGATGGTGCCCACCCACACCGAGGAGGGCATCTGCTTTACTCAGTCCTTCAATTCCAATGGTAGTCTCTTCCCTCACACACACACCCAGAAATATTTAATAATATTTAACCAGATATCTGGACATTCTGTAGCCCAGTCAACACACAAAATTAACCATCACAGATCCTCTCCGGCTGAGGGCTCAACACCCCAGCCCAAGACAACTCCTATCCATCCTGCTCTCCTCCCTGAACGACTGAGGGGATCACTGTACCTCTCTGGGCAACCTCTGCCTCTTAGAAGTCCTACGGATGATCCACAGGAAACCCACAGCTGTGCTGTGCGGCCCTGGGGCAAGGGCAGTGCTGGGTGGGGATCTGGGTTTCAGGATCAAGCTGGATTGGGAAAGCCATCTCTGCCCTTGAGGGTAATTACACTGCAGGAGGAAAAACCATCAAAGCAGGGCAGGGGCCAAGCATGGTGGCTCACGCCTGTAATCCTAGCACTCTGGGAAGCCGAAGCAGGAGGCTTGCTCAAGGTCAGGAGTTCAAAACCAGCCAGAGCAAGACTCCATCTCTACTAAAAATAGAAAGAAATTAATTGGCCATCTAAAATATATATAGAGAGAAAAAATTAGCTGGGCATGGTGGCACATGCCTGTAGTCCCAGCTACTCGGGAGGCTGAGGCAGAAGGATCACTTGAGCCCAGGAGTTTGAGGTTGCTATGAGCTAGGCTGACACCACAGCACTCTAGCCCAGGCAACAGAGTGAGACTCTGTCTCAAAAAAAAAAAAAAGCAGGGCAGGGTTCAATGTCCTTCTCTGTCCTTATGCGTGGTCTCAGGCAGAGCATCTACATTCTCCCCTTTCTCCTCCCTGGAATCAGAGTCCTGCGTTTAGGGCCCCCAGTCTCACCAAACAGGCTCTGCATCCTCCACCCAGAACATGCCACACATTTCTTTTCTTTTCTTTTTTAGAGATAAAAACAACAACAACAACTACAGGCTGGGGGCAGAGCATAGCATGTGTTAAGCAGTATAACTAGGCAGCGTGCTGAACAGTGTGCCAGTTACAAGTCCAAGAGACTTATACTGTCCCTTGCCTGGCACTCCCCAACTCCTACTCAAGTTTCATGACTAAAAGTCTTCTCCCCCAGTAAGCCTTTCTAGCCAACTCCCTGCCTGTCCCCCTTCAACTGGGGTAAGTGCACAACCTGGTCCCACCTGTCCTCAGGCATTTTTCTATCAAAGCATTTATCTCATTACATTTTTAAAAAATTCTTTAAAAAATTTGTATTATGAAAAATGTCAAACATATACAAAAATAGCCAGAATAGGATAATGAAGCCCATGGACCCATCACTCAGTTTCAACAATTACCAACTTATAATTTTGTTTCATTTATATCACCTATCACTTCAAATTATCCTGAAACAAATCTCCAACTTCACATCATTTTATCAGTAAATACCTCATTATGCTTCCCTAAAAGATAGGGGTGCTTTTCTAAAAAAGCATAATCATAATACCATTATCACAACTTTAACAATTTTTAGGTGGGCCCCCAGGACCAGGCATAGTCTCTGGGAAAGAAAGGTCAACACCAGCTGCCAGAGAGAGCTTGATACCAAGTCTGCTTTGTGAGAGTCACCAAAACAGCCAACACCATTCTCAGAAGAGAAAGGAGGACTGGTCCTTTCCTGGTTGACCTAAGGGTCTTATTCAGGGACTACTTCCTCAGAGAGGCTCTTCCTGACTCCCCTGCCCTCTCCTTCCTGGACTGGGCAGTAGTAAGTGGCCTTCTGATCTCCTAGGACTGTTACCCTGAGCCAACCACGGGAGAACCCAATGTCAGCCTGACCCCAGAACAGCCACCTACGTCAATCTGTGAAAGCAGCCTGCACACAACACTAATTGTTGGTGTGGACACTAAGCCAAAGATTGCCAGATGGCAACCTATGGTTCCTACATGCTGCTGGGAGGATTTCCCAGCACCATAGTCAGAATAGCCTGTGAGAACCTGGGCTGAAAACCTCAATAGCCCCTTCAACCTCTTCCCACTGTCTCGGGCCAGCCCAGTTTGTGCATGGGGGCCTCAAAGCTGGTTCAGACTGCATCCCTTTCCCAGATGGCATGTGTGATATAAATGGCTCTCCAGAAGCCAGGCATGGTTGAGATTAAAGGCGCATGCCTTTAATACCAACTACTCGGGAGTCTGAGGTGGAAGGAGCACTTGAGCTCAGGAGTTTGAGGCCAGCTTGGGCAATATAGTGAAACCCAGTCTCTTTTTTAAAAAGCCCTTCAGAGGGGTGAGGGAAGGCACAGGCAGGTGGGGTCCTGGGTGTCCTGCTATCTCCACAGAAGGGCAGTCCTCACCCCAGCCTCATGCTGATGAGACCAGGCAGAGGCCTGACAACGCAGTGCGGAAGGGAGCAGCCATTAGCACTAATGAAGCAGGCGGCCTGAAAGCTTTTTACTCTGAAGCAGCTCGCCTACCCAGGGAACAGTCCGTTCTGCTTCCTTAGCTTCCAGGAACCCTAGGTGGAAAATGGTTTGGGGACAAGAGGAGGGGTGGGGGGTCTTGGAGAAGACTGGAAGGAAAAGGGGAGGGGAGGCAGGACCAGGAATGCAGTCAGGAGGGACTGCTATTGGCTAGATGGGCTTCTCCCACTTCCCCCTCCGCTGGAGGCTCTGGTTCTGTACCCCACCCCTGCCCTACAATGGCCACTGGCCCATCACCCTCTTCAATGCCCTTGACCCAACTTCCTGGAAGGAAACAACATGCCACATAGGGTCTGAGTAAGCATCTCCGGGGCCACAAATTAGATTAGACTTCTAGGGCCGCCTGCCTTGTTATTACTAATGGCTTCGGCCTGGCCCACATGCTAGGTCTCTGTCCTGTGGAAATTTTGGGGTCCTGGGCACCCTATCTTGTTCCAAAACTTTAATTGGCTCCTGGAGACCTCACCCCAAATTAGAGATGGGTATCCCTCTTGTAGAGCAACAAAGCCGCTTAGGTTCCAGGGAGTGAAGCCTGAACTGTGCCCCCACCATCCAGGGAGGGCCCCTCGCCCTCGCAGCAGGAACAGTCACGTGTGGGCTCTTCATTAGACTCTGCTATATAAGCTGAGGGCACAGGGTTGTGAGGAACACTCTAGGCAAGGATTCAGAAAGCAGAGGTAAGTCCTCAGGTTAGGCAGGGAATCCTACTCTGGGTTGGGGGGGGCCTCTATCTGGGCATCTAGAGGATACTCTGAGGATGAGGAGAGACTAAGTTGTGGGTCTTCCTACTGAGACAGGCCATGCTGAATGCAGTGCTGCTGAGCTGTGCCCTGCTGCTGGCATTGCCCACCATACAGGGGGCCCAGATGGGCTTGGCCCCCCTGGAAGGCATCAGAAGGCCTGACCAGGCTCTGTTCCCAGAGCTCCCAGGTCAGTGTGGGCAGGGGTAGGGTTGGGTGGGGCCTGGATACCCTCAGACCACAAACTGTCCCGCCTAGTATAAGTCCTCCTTCCCCATTCCCAATCCCAGATCTGTGAGGTGGGTGCTTTGTGCATGGGGGAAGTCCTGCCCTCACATCCTCTGCTCCAGGCCTGGGCCTCTGGGCCCAGCTGAAGAAGACAACCGAAGAACAAGCAGAAGAGGCTCTGCTGCAGGAGGCTGAGGCCGAAGCGGAGGCCCTGGCAGAGGTAACTTTTCAGGGAAAGGGGTAAGGTGGCGGGGGGGGGGGGGGGGCTTCAAGTACTATCTCCCCTCCCCAGCTCCAAAACCCCTCATTAGGGGTGACACTGCCGACCACCCTTTCTAATGCTCCACTGCCATCCTGCACAGATTGTGCAGCTGAAGTCCCTGGACCTGTCTTAGGAGGCCAGTGCCCACACTCCTGCTTCCCCATCCCTACAGGTGCTAGACCCGCAGGACCGCGAGCCCCGCTCCCCGCGTCGCTGCGTGCGGCTGCATGAGTCCTGTCTGGGACAGCAGGTACCGTGCTGCGACCCATGCGCCACATGCTACTGCCGCTTCTTCAACGCCTTCTGCTACTGCCGCAAGCTGGGTACGGCCATGAACCCCTGCAGCCGCACCTAGCTGGCCGATGTCAGGGTCGGAGCAGGAGGATGTGAATAAAGAATGGGACCAACCCCGAGGCTGTGGTTATTTCGAACGTGGCCGTCGAAGTGGGGGAGGGCTCACGGCAGGGGTAGGAGTGTCACCAAGCCAAGAAACTATACACACCCCTAGGGCCTGAGCTACCTCATCGTCTGAGGCACATACACATGCGCTTTGAGGGCGCCGGGTTGAGGAGAGACGCACTCCAGACCTGGAGAATCTGGCACAAGAAACGCGGGGAAGGCTGGGCGCAGCGCGGCATAAGGGCTGGAACCCAGGGCTAACGAATAATAATCATTAGGCTCCAGGGCCTGCTTGCGGTGACTTCCACGCGTGACCTTCAGAAAAGTCCGCCCCTCACAGGGCCTCAGCTCCTCTCTCAGGGTGGGGGAGGCTGATTCAGCAGTCTGGAATCTTTCCAACCAAGAGAAACACCACCCACTCCCATTTTTACCTCACCGGCCCCGCAGCGCCAGGTGCATCAAACTCGGAACAGAAATAGGGCCCAATGGAATCTCTGCGGCCACGGGCGCCACCACGCGGCCAGCCTCAAACAGCCAGGTAGTGCTCTCGGCGGGACGCAGGAGGCGCTCCTGCCTTCAACGCGCAGGCGCCAGAGGGCCGTTTCCAGCCCACACCTGCGCAAACGCTTCCGCACGAAACCACCCGGAAGCCTGGTGCCCTTCAAGGCCCCGCCCCGTTGTGGTCATGTGAGGCTCTCGCGCGTCACCTGACGCGCTTGACAGCCCGCTTCGGGCGCAGAGTCAGCTGATCGCGGAGTTGCGTTGCGTACCGGCCGGTCGGGGTTCTCCAGTCCCGCCGTCCCCGCCGCAGCCATGTCGTTCTTCCCGGAGCTTTACTTCAACGTGGACAATGGCTACTTGGAGGGACTGGTGCGCGGCCTGAAGGCCGGGGTGCTCAGCCAGGCAGACTACCTCAACCTGGTGCAGTGCGAGACGCTCGAGGGTGAGCCGCAGGGCCAGATCGAGGGGCCCTCAAAGGCCAGGTTTGGAGGCTGGCTCTGGCCTGAGGGTTCTGAAGCCTGGGCCCGGAAGCCGGAAGCAGGGGGTCTCGAAAGGCCTGAGAGGCCTCTCTGGGAATCCGAGGGCTGGTGGCGGGCGCACTGGGAGGGGATCTAGCTCTATCTGCCGCTTGGCGCGGGCCCGAACGCGAACGCTTTAGGAACCAGAGTTTTTCGCCTTTGCTAGGGCTTCCTCTTCCCCTGTTGTGCTCGCCATATACTTTGGAAGGAAGGAGTCTCTTAGGAGTGGTTGGCAGGTGCGAGCTGTGCCCATACCAGCTTCTTTATCTCGACGTAGCCAGAGAGCTGTTCCGTGGCAATGTTTCGGGAAGCTAAGCGGGAAAGTACCCCACCCCCTACACAGACACTAAGGCCTTTGGGATCATCTTCGCGTTGGGCTGCTGGGTGAGCCTTCCTGGGAAATTGCTGAGCCAACTTAGTGAGGGTTGCCTCTCAACCCTGGACCACTGGCTGAGTAGTGTCACCTGAAGGCAGTGTTTGGGAGAGCAAGGGTGGTCCTGCAAGTCTGGAAGTTCATATACAAGTATTTAGCCAGTAAATCCTACTCCCTCAGCAAGGGGGAGATGGGATGCCTGTTGGTATAGGATTTCTTAGAAGAGTGGTGAAAAGCTGAGTTCCCCTTTCCTCCCAGCACACAAGTCCAAAGTAGGGTTGACTTCCTGAGGCACAGCTGCAATAGATGCACTGAATTAGAGATGTCCCTGATTCCAGTCTTTGCCCTCCCCCACCCCAGGTGGTAGTGAAGGGCAGGGTGGCTAGGATGTTTGTTCCCATCCCTGACCCACAAGTAATACTCTTAAGCAGACATACTCATAGCTTCCCGGTTGCTAGCTAGAGGGGGAAGATTGCCAGATGATTCACCCACTAAGAAATTTTCTCATCAGAAACTTACTGAGGTTAAAAGTGAGATCAAATCTGGGAGGCTGAGGCGGAAGGATTGCTTGAGCTTAGGAGTTTAAGACCAGCCTGAGCAAGAGCAAGACCCCATCTCCACTGCAAGTAGAAAAAATTAGCTAGGCATTGTGGCACCCACCTGTAGTCCCAGTTGCTTGGGAGGCTGAGGCAGGAGGATGGCTTGAGCCCAGGAGTTTGAGGTTGCAGTGAGCTATGATGCTGCCACTGCACTCAGGATGACAGAGTGAGACCAAAAAAAAAGTGAGCTCAAAGAAAAAAATCAATTGTTTACCTTACAAACTAGACCAGTAAAGTGAAAATAAATACCTTTAAAATATAAAACTTATTGAAGTTAAAATACAGTAATTATAGATTTTATGATTTTTAACATAAATTTGGAAGAAAAGTTGTTTTTACCTCCCTTATGTAAGTGGAGGTGGGGAAGAAGAGGAATAACACTTTAGGGTGCTGGGTTGTTGGAGTCTGCCAGCAACTTGACTGACCTCACCATAGGAAAAGGGGAGAGACAGAGGGAGGCTGCCAGGAACAGGGCCTAGCACGCAATTGGCACTTACTGTGAGTTTTATGGACTGACTGGGACCTGTTGAAGATCTTTATTTGCTTAGATCTAAAAGTGGATACCATTGATCATCAGTTGACATTCAGTTGGCTTGTTTCTCTTCTTGACTTTCCTCCTGCTGCTCCTTACCCCACTGTAGAGCTTCTGGGGGGCACAGGGTTCCCATCTTCCCAGAGGACCCTCCATCATCCTCCATAAACATGCTAGGCCATTCTTCCTGCAGTGCTGCTCAGCAAATAGCCCCCATTGTGGGACACCATCCAGACCTTTAGTGTGGCATTCAGGAATCACTTTCTCTTTCACACACATTTCTCTCCCTTATACAGGTCATCCTTCTAGCACTTGGTGCACATAGTGTGGTGACTTTGGAGTCGGGCAAACTTAGATTTGAATCCCACCCCTGCCAATTACTGGATTACCTTAGACAAGTTATTTAACACCTGTGGGTCTTGGGTTTTTCATCTGGTACTTTCATCTGGTACAGCACTTATCTCATGAAGGTTGTGAGATATCAATAAGCTACTGCGTATAAAACACTTACCCAGCACCAAGGACAGAGTAAGCACAGGGTAAATGTTAGCTCTTGTTTTCAGTGTTATTTGCACCTGCCATTCCCTCTGCTGCTTTCTCATCCCCATGAAATACAGTGATTCCTGCCCTTCAAGGCCCAGCCCTAGTACCACCTCATCTTAGAAACTTTGCCCGTATTAGGCTAGAATGTTGTCCCCTTCACCCAATCACAACTCCTGTGGCATTTGTTTGTGCTGCTTTCCTAGAAGTTTCTTGACATAGAGTTTAGCATTCTTTTTCTTTTTCTTCTTTTTTGAGACAGAGTCTCGCTCTGCCGCCATGGCTAGAGTGCAGTGGTGGCATCATAGCTCACTGAAACCTCAAACTCCTGGGCTTGAGCAATCCTTCTACCTCAGCCTCCCAAGTAGCTGGGACTGCAGGTGTATGCCACCACAGCCAGCTCATTTTTCTGTTTTTTGTAGAGATGGGGTCTCGCTGTTGCTTAGGCTGGTCTCAAACTCCTGAGCTTGAGTGATCCTCCTGCCTCGGCCTCCCAGAATGCTAGGATTGCAGGCATGAGCCACTGCACCTGGCTGAGTTTAGGATTCTTGGAACCTTGTATGCTGGAGATGCTCAGGACTTTCAAGGGCTGGGGATAATCAGCAGCAGGAAGGAGTGACAAGAAACCCCATGTGTCCTCTACAGAAAGGCCTTCTCTGCTTCCAAAGGTGACACCAGAGGCCTAGTCTCCAGGCTGGTGTTGCTGGATATTTTTGCCTCCCTATCTCTAGGGGAAGGAGGAGGGAGGTGGGAATGGGAGACCAAGGGAGCCTGTAGTCTCTAGTCACCTAGATCTGTAGGTGTATCCTGAGGTGATGAGATTTCCAAAGAATATATTTCACATGTTGGACAGTTCCCAGGAGGCACAGGGTGTCTGGTAGAGAGTGTTTATTTGTTCTGTAAGGTAGGACAAGTATAGCCTTCCTGGATTCCACTTCTGCAGGGCATCTACTACTGACCTCTCTCTTCTGCTAGAACTCAATCTCTTAGGACTCCTGAAGCTCATGCATCTTCCATTGTCCATTTTGCTCAGTTGTCCTTTCTCAGGAGTAGGAGAAAGAACCCACAGAGGTTGTCCACCTTTGGTCAACTGAGGGGATAGAGCTGGGTGGTCACCAAAGCTCTTTCCAGCTTTGAGTTGATGTGTATTTGTTGAGAGCCTTCTGGGAGCTGGGTCCTGTGCTAGGGGCTTGTAGGGAAGAGGAGGTGGGTCAGAGATGTATGAAGAGAAATCATAAAGTATTACTTTGAATGTTTTCATTCATTCACTGTCCTTATGGAGCATCATTTTATGCTAGACACTGTTATAGGGGCTGAGATACTTTGACCCTTGTAGTCTGGGGTTGGAGGTTGGTGAGGCAAGGAAATAGATTAAGAGAGCGTGTGGTATAGTGGTTACAGCTGTGGGCTTGCTACTCCATGGCTCTGTGGCCATGAGCAAGGTATGTAACCTTTCATTCCTGAGTGTCAACATCTGTAAAATGGTGGTAACAATAACACCTACCTTATGGGGTGGTTATGATGGCTAAACAAGATAATCCACATAAAATGCTTAGATCTAACTTGGCACGTGGCAAGTGCTCAATGTATTAGCTACTGTTGTTGTTACAATTAAGTAAACAGAATACATACATAATCACATATTAAGGGTGATACCTGTGAAAAGGACAAAGGAGACATGACTGGTGAAGGCCCTGCTGAGGAGGGATATTTGAGCTGAGGTGTGAAGAATGAGAAGGAGCTAGCCGTGCAGAGAGCTAGAAGGAAGAGCATTTCACACAGACCAGCACACAAAAGCAGAATTAGCTGGGCCAATCAGAGGGACCAAAAGGAGCCCCAAGTAGCAAAGCATGGGGAACAGGAGTGCAAATTTTCTGGGAACCCAGACCCTTGGTTTAAAAAAAAAATTCAGGCTGAAGCCAGGGGGGAAGCCTCTGGCTCTTTAGCACTGGGGGTAGGGGCAGAGGTAGTGAAGGTAAGGGATACCATCTTCTACAGAGGCCTGCCGAATCTGGGGTTGTTGGGTATGACTAGGTTTCAGAGCATGAGGTCCATATGCAATGCTGCTTCCATATGAGTGTTGCTTATTCAAGAAACACCTCCTGAAGGCTTACTAGGCCCGGCCCACTGGGCCTCATACAAGAGCCAGGCAGGTATTTCAGGCATTACCACAGTTCTGAACCTGTACTCTAAGCTCTTACCCTGGGATCCATCTAAAAGCACTGCTATTAATTTGCCTGAGTGCATGCTGGGAATTCAGATGTGAGTCAGGCTCCAACCCCACCCTCCAGAATTTCCTCTTCCCCTTTTCTCTTTAAAACTGTTTATTATGGATATCGTCAAACATATACAAATTAGAAAG